TTTAAATGTGGGTGGGGGAGTAAATGCTCTATAGAAATAGACAAGAAAGGCTAATTCTGCTTCCAACTGAGAAAGTGATTGCTATCTAGCCTTAAATCCCTATAAGGTCCATTCTTCTTCCTTTCTTTAGGGATTAGGGTAGGATACGGGAAGGAGAGACAGGAATAGCACAGAAAGTCAGTATGACATTGGGGTAACATAAGCTCCCTGGGTTTCTGTTTCTTAAGGGAAATCATTCTGCCTTAAATATCCTCTCAAAATAAAGTTTCTTATTATGACACCTGCCTTACCATAATGTTACTCATACAGCTATTGTTATCTTAATATAATTACAATGTTAGATGTGTGTAATTTTTATGTTATTTGAGAGAACTTCACTGGAATCATGTGTTCACTCATGTAACACATATATGTTCATGTTGCATACATTATTTCACGTACTAGAGAAATAAGACACAGTGCCTGACTCATGAACCTCATTGTGTAGAACTTCATTGTGAAGAAGAATATGAACATCACAAAACCAATGCACTGTTCAGTGAATGTGAGAAAGCTAGTATGCATCTTGGTCATTGTTTTAGGCTCTTTATTACATAGAGAAGGTTCTAAGATATTTTGATGCATATTGCTTAAAGAAGTATATATGATAAACCTATTTTGCAGTAACATAACTCCCCGTGTGATCACAACATCATAACCCACATACTCTGACAGGGTCACAACACTTTTCCTGTTGCTACACTATTATTCTTCCTGTAATCATACTTGCAAATCTCAGATTATTTTAAATTGCTCTTCATTTTCAATATACAGAAACCAGCCATGAAGAAGTACTGTTTCTATAATTTCCAACCTCAGGGCCCCCCTCCTTTCCTTTTCTCTGTTATTTGGTGATTACTTTATTAGAGACATGATGCTGTCCAATTCTATGCCATTTTCCTTCAAATGGCATCATTGTACTCTTCTTCATAGCTAGTAAAACTGGATGAAACTCCACTGTGTATGCATACAGGACACATTCTTTCATCCATTCATCTGGGGATAGGCTTATGGGCTGGTTCTTCTATTAGGTATTGTCAGTAGTGCAGCAATAAGCATGAACATGCAGTTGCCAGAGTCTCTGTAGCATGTCTGCGGTAGGTACTTCAAGTATGTGCATAGAAGAGGATGAAGTCAGATACCTTTATTTGGGTTTATCATAGGTGGTGCACTAATTTCCATTCCCACGAGCAGTGTGTGAGTTCCTTTAGCTCCTTGAACTTTCCCACATTTGTTGTATTTAGTTTTCTTTCTTAAAACAAATCTCCATTCTAAATAACTAGCAAATTAAAAAAATGCCCTGAAATTAGACCCAAAACCTGTATATCTCAACGAACTATTATACTGTTAGAATAACTATTCTAATGCTGTGGAACTTCACAACAGGTGTTATACTTAAAGAAATACATTAGTGTGAAAAACAGATAAAAGAGAATGCATGAAAGTGTATTATTTGAATGTAAAGAGAAATCATTTCTGCATATGTAACAAAACACCTATTTTGAGAAGAATGCAACTATGTTGTAAAAGTTCAAGTAAGAAATTGCATGTATTTTGTGCCCCACTCTTTTTTAAAACAGCTGTTGCGACTGGGTTGGAATGGCATCCCAATGCAGGTGAAAATGACTCCCACTCTTGCCCTTACTGTTACATTCTCGACTGTAATGTATTTATATTGTTTTGCAAATTTGAGTGACTCTTCAAGCTAGTCTTCGTTACGAACTTTCAGTGAATGTGTATTACCTGCCCTTAGTTTTCAGATCCAAGTTTCCCTTTACATCTTGTTTAATAGTTTACATACATTTGTTTACATGTTTACATATTTACATATACATGTTTATATACATATTCCCACACTAATACCACACTTTCCTTTAAATCTTTGATCACCCCCCTTCCTTTAAATTTGTTTAGGATCACTTATTTAACGGCCTTTCCTGGTCACTCATCCTGTGTTCCATTTCAGTATTGGTAACTACTCATTATTGTTCGGTAGTTGTTGCTATTTCTAGTCTATAGGTCACAATTCCCAGTTTATGGGTGTAGATTACTAACCCTTAATTGGTGATGGAATTCTTTTTTATTTACCAGAAAGATTTTTGTTGTTGTTGTTCCAGTGGGCGTTTCAGAAATATCCTGCCCATCACTGACTTGCGATCTCTGATAGTTACAGTTTTGTGCTCTCTTCAAGTAGATTTATTTCCATCTGAATTTTCCCAAGCTCTTTTTCATCAAAGGGAGTAGGCTGCCTGAATCTATCTCCCATGAAAATCTTGCCAGTATTTGACTTTTGACTTTCTTAGATGGAAGGGTGGAATTAACCTTTTTTTTGCGAGAGTGTTTAACTATCTTTCTGATTTCTATGCTTTATGCCTAGATATTTCATAATGTTCTAACTTGTTAGTTATGTACTTAACTCTTCACATGCCTACTTTCAAGACCCCCACTGCTTATTAACCAATATTATGTCTATATGATTCATTATTCTAAATCCCAGTAATCTCTATCTCTTTGTTTATCTTTTGTTTAATGACTCAGAAAACTCACAATTTTCCAGTGTGTGTACATGTGTGTATTTGGGTGTGCATAAGTGTGTGTGTTTTACTAGAGTGCTCACAAGTTCACTCATCCATGAAGATACATCTGGAGGCCAGAAGTTGACAAAGAATATCTTCTTTAATCACTTTCCATCTGATTTTTGGAACATGGTACCTCACTGAACCTGGATCTCACACTTTTTTTCAGACTAGCTGGTGTGGAAGCCTCTTGTCTCTGCCTCTCCAGGAATTGCTGATATGTAAAATATTATACTATTGGGTTTTTCTTACATACTGATGCTCTCTGCTTTTGAAAATAATAAGTAGGACCAGTGAGATGTCTCAGTGAGTAGAGCAGTTGTGTTAAAGTTAAACCACTTGAGTCCAATCCCAGTAATAAACATGGGAGAGGGAAAGAACCATCCCCCACAATATGGTCTCTAACCTACACACATACACAAACGCTCACACACACACAGGCACAAACACATGCACTCCACACTAATTTAAAAAAAAAGAAAGAAAAGAAACCTTGATTATATTGTAAAAGTCTATAATAATTACCCATGTGTTTTAGACATTTAGCTTTCTTCATTTATTCATTTATCCATTATTTATTATAGTGCTGGTGATTAAAATTCTAGCCTTGTGCTTTATTGTATAATGTTCAACCATTCAGTTACTTGCACATTCTTTTTTAATGAAATTTTTCAGTTTATTTATCAGTACTTAGGTTTCTATTACTAAGAATGCATTGACTATGTACATTATTGATATAATATGACAACAATATAATTTATAAAATATGCTTGTAGGTAGGTATCATGTCCCTAAGTTTTTTGTATGATTATTTCTTGCCATTTTGCCATTTCTTTAGTGCTCTGTTATTTTGTTGGGTATTGAATTCACCTACAGTTAGTGTATTGGGGTTAATTTGCAGTTTACAGCCCAGTAGTACTTGTTTAGTGAAACTAGGTACACTTGAGTTCAATACATTATGTTTAGGATTTCAGTGATCTTACAGTGAATTAGTTCTTTGATAAGAACAAAATAACCTTCCTTATCTTTCATGATTAGCTCTGGTTGAAAATTTTCTGTCAGTTTCTTTTTCTGCCAGTTCCTAGAATGTTAATGCCTGATTGATTCTTTGTCCCATTGGCTTGGAATACCTTTTCTCTTCCTTCAAGTGAAGATATATTTTTAAAAGAGAATATCTTAACTACAACTTACGGTATGGTACCGCAATATTTAAGTGTTCTCCCTTATCACATTTTCATTTCCAACAATCAGCTCCATGAGAACTACTTGAGACAGACAGAATACTATGAGTAGATCTAGATCCTAAGTATCAATGCTAATTATAAATACTAGTCATGGCATCTAATTGCTTTGCTATATTCACAATCTATTTGAAGTAAACCTTTATATAGAATATTATATAGAGATGAATGAACCACAAGACAGCTACTCTAGTCCCTACCAGTCAGCACACATATGAACCTGGGAAATTAAATCAATTTTTTGAGCTAGTTTTTTTTTTCCTTTTGACAGATACATAAAAACATAAAAATTATATATGTTTGTGGGTTTTCATTTCAATATACTTAACATGTTATATGCATTCATCGGTAATCGCAAGCATAATTCTCATAGGTTTATCATTTGCTTGCAGTGGAAAACTTACCTCTAGTTGTTTTAGAAAGGTACAGTGTGTTTTCACCCCATTGTACAATAGCTTCACAGGAACGTACACAGTGTAGCATTTCCTCAGCCCTGCAGAACTATTGTCCCAGCCACAGTAATCATTGTTCTATATTCTTGATCCTCAGAGTCTATGAGATCAAATTCTCAAACAGGAAACGTGAGTGAGATCATACACTACGTTTTTCTTCTGTGTCTATGAGCTAGCTTCTTAGTCTGGAAAATAGCAGGGACTCGAAAAATTAAATATATTAATTCTTAATTTCATTTCATGTATAACTGTTGGTATATCACATTACTGTATAATCCTTCTAAAGTATAACAACTGCATTAATTTAAGGAAGGCAATGATAGAAGAATTTAATAACCATTAGCAAAACTCAGAATTAAAAAAAACATTTTTTTGTTTTTTAGATTATAATATTATTACATAATTCCTCCTTCACTTTCCTTCCTCAATACCCTTTCACATACCCCTTCTTCTTCTCTTTCAAATTCATTTCCTCTTTTGTCCTTAACTCTGCATAATATATTGTATATAAACTATATATACATATATGTATATATACATAGAATATATACATATATTCCTAAATACATAAGTATAATCTTCTCAGTCTGTATAACGTTACCAATATGTATGTTTTCAGGGCTGATCATTGGCATTGAATAACTAATTGATATGCTCTTCCCTGAAAAATTCACTGAGATTGTGTTTTCTAGGAATGTCAGAAGCCACAGCCCCGAAGTCTCACCAACATGGCTGTCTAAACATGAGCTGAGGAAGGCGACAGACACGCTAGCATGCCGAGTGGGGAGCGCATGAGGCTGCAACCTCACATAAAGTGCTACGGGAATGCAGAGAGTGTGAGAAATCATCTTCCGCAGAAATTTTAAGACTTCAATGTCTTCTCTTTTTCTAAATGCAAATGTACTGCAAGTTCTGTTACAAATTTATTTGTTTTGAATGTAATGTAATTGACGTTTGAAAAACCTAATATTAGATAATGAAACTATCTTTTGTTTTCATATAATTTTTTTTATTTTTTAAAACACTGATCAGTTGTCTGAATATTTGCCAACATCAAAAATTACTTATTAATCACAGAACAATGCATTCATAAACAACCAATAATCAGTTAATTATTTAATTAATGAAATTATTTACCATCCAAAGTACTACAGTGTCATCCATCATACTTAAAAATGTGAGAAAAATATCAGGAACATTTCTCTATATATAATCTTCTAGTTTTGATAACATTATAAGAATATATATGAATTAAATCTAAGTTGGCCTTTAATCCCAGCACTTGGGAGGCAGAGGCAGGCGGATCTTTGTGAGTTAGAGGCCAGCCTGGACTACAGAGTGAGTTCCAGGAAAGGCACCAATGCTACACAGAGAAACCCTGTCTCCAAAAACCAAAAAAAGGGAAAAATAATAAATCTACAGTTATTTTATATTAATAGGAAGTGGTTTCTTCAGACATGTAATGTAAATTAAAATCTAGGAATCACTGTATTTTTACAGATACATATTAATTATTAGTAGATTTCTTTCCTATTGTAAAGATTTGTGCAGAATATAAAACTTTATCTTATGGTCTCTAATATTTTAAATTTGGTTAAAATTTTGAAATATTATTCAATTACTTTCTTCTTAAAATTTTAATTAAAATATAATTGCATTATTCAGTTCCTTTCATGCTCCTGTTTATTCCCTTTCAAATCCATAGCCACTTTTAATTTTATTATTATTGTTACATATATGTGTGCATATACACGCATATAAATATATAAATTCAATCTAGTGAGTTTGTTTTCTGTTGCTTATGTATATAAAATTTCAGAGTTGACCATATGATATTCGATAACATTTAGAGAGCTCATTCCTAAGAAAGGCTAATTCTCTCTCTTTCAGCAATCACAAGTTGTCTGTACTTTTTTCCTAAGAGTGGGGTCTCATGAGATTCTCATCTTCAACATTAGCGTGTCTTTTGATATGATGATTGCTCAGGCAGTTTTATTTTTTGAGTATAATGTGTGTAGCTTTCATGTTGTTTCTAGGAGACACAATCTGACAGCAGACTTTCTGTGTTCTGGCTCTTACAATCTTTTTCCCACCTCTTCCAACATGCTCTCCAAGTCTTAGATGCAAGAGTTGTGTTATAGGTGTATCTGTTGAGATGGTAAATTCACAATTAATTGTTCTCTGCATTTAACCATTGCATTGTGGTTTTCTATAATGGTCTCTATTTGCTGCAAAGAGAAGTTTCTTTAATGAGGTGTAAAAGCTTCGAATGTAGTAAGAAGTTACAATGCTTTAGGAAAGTGGCAGTAGTTCATTCTCTAAGATCCATGGCCTAATTGGCTACATTCACAATACCAGGCATAATTTCCCTCCTTTAAGCAGGCCTTAAATCCAATTTGATATCTGTTGGTTACCACTAGGCTGTGTGTACCACTACAGCACATTTAAAGATATCTTACCATGCTGTAACTGTTGTGGTTCATAGATGTCACAGTTGGGTAGGACAACTGATTGCTGTCCACTTTGGGTGGCTAGGATTTCACATTCTTGTGTGATGAAGGCTGGATGTCAGAGAGTGGGCTGTCATAACCATCTCCAATTGTTAGAATAGTGTTATTTTTCAATCATCTAGAGTTACACTCTTCATTCAAACTAAGAGTATGAAAGGGAAATATAATATTTAGCTATATTTACTATGACTTGTGAATGAATAAATTATTTTTTCATTTTTGTTAATTTTAAATACAAGAATTTGTCAATCAGTTGAATTAAACTTAGCATAAAAAACAAGTGCTGTTTCTAATGAAAACTGGCATTTTGACTTCAGTAGATGCCAAGGGAAAATGAAAAGACAAGTTCTTTAAAACTGTGCTAATGTTGTTATGTCAGTTAGTATTAAATTAGATATGCCAATGACAAATTGTATGGATCACCTGGGAATAATAAAGAAGGTAGGAACAAGAATATGTTGGAAAAAAAAAAAAACAGGCATTGGGTAGGAAAAGCTAAGCTGCAGACCACAATGCACTTCTGGAAAAATCTTAGCCAGACAAATGGGGAACATCCAAGCACAGCTGCTTTAGAGGCATTCCAAGCCTACAGGAATGGCCAAGCTCAGTCTCAGTGTTTTCTCTATTCCCAGTTATTGGTGGGAGCCATGTAAGTTGGGTGTGGCCACAGGTGAGCATAAAAAAAAAACCTATCATAAAAGATGACCATAGAAAATTGGCATCCCATCAGCCAATTTTACTTCTTATATGTCCTTTGAGGGAAGCTCTGAACTGGGAACCATAATGTCATCTTTAAGCCCAGGGAATCATTTCAGAACTGTGTCGACCAGGAACATTCTGAACTGAAACTTCAGTTCATCATTTTACTTATAAATGTGTAAATGTCAAATATGTAATTAAAAATCCCATTCAAGTGCTGCAGTGATTTGAAGCCATGAAGTGCTGAGACCACAACTATGAATAGAATTGCTTTGCTAACTTAGGACTTCTCCAACACACTTTATCCCTCCTTTCAGTCTTGAAGTTACTCACCTTACACACACACTTTTCATACTCTTCCTCCGTAGTTGCATCTCTATCTATTCTCTAAATCAGCAATCTTGTAGGGAGAAGAGTTGCAAATTACAAAAAGAAAGAAAGAAAATTCCCACAATAATCTCTAAAGCATGTATCTAATAATTGATGGATGTTTTCCAAAATTAGTGTGCAAGGGGACATCCACATTGACGCTTCCTTCAGAATGCCAGTTAAGGGCAGGGAGGCAGGCGGGGGGGCGGGGGGTGGTTGCAAACTTCTTCATTTCAAGCACTACTCTTTCTGGTTTGACTCCATAGGAAACTTTTCACTGTCATGTCGCAGTGATTTTGACCTCTCTTATGCATATAGTCTATCTCAGGATGCAGTCCATTAGTCAGAGATTATCCCATTAGCATTGGCAAACTTGCATTTGACTTAATATGCTAATACAGGCTACTGTTATAAGGTTATTAACCAATTCTAATGTCATTAGCATCCACTAAGTAAAATAATTCAATGCATATAAATTGTTGTCTACTTAATTAACGGATGATGCAGACACACCTTGCCCCCCTTTTCTCTTCTACTTATTCAACTATAATAGCCTTACAGTCTGTTCAAATTTCAGAGTTTCCTGCATCAATTAGACAACTTGTGCATGTTACCTACTTTCTGACCATTATCTATATATTTGAAGTTTTCTGGTTCCTTCACATCAGGAATCCTAAGCTTAATTCTGATTCTGTAATACATTGGGGTTGTACCATTACTTTTATAGAGTTTAATTTAATTCCATAAAAATAATTCAAAGCCATTTAATTCAACATGACTTCTGACAAACACATTCTGTCATATAATTCTGTTGCCACAAACAAAACAATGAAAGGGGAATATGAAATTTTTACAAAAACAATGATAATTTGTGCACTGGCAAAATATTATTCATATTTGAAAGATTTAAAAAATTTTCAACCTCAAAAAGAGCATTCAAATAGTTCTCTCTTTTGTTCAGTGCTTGAAAGTCAGTTGTTTTTGGTTGACAAGAAAGTTAATTATTGGTATGTCTGCTTTGACTTTTATGAATATGCCGTAATTTGCTATGAAGCACCTGATGTGAATGGCAAGCTTTGATAGCATTTAAGACTTTTACAGTTTAAAGAAACTTTGTGGTCTAACTCAATGCAATTTAAATGAAGATGTTCATATTTTTCTAGTATTTTTCCTTTCTGGCCATGCTCTGGAGAGTATGAACACCATTTTATTCCAAAATCATATTTCAGTATCCTACTTTGCATGAGGTATTATGTTCATAGTTTCTATGGAAATCTTGACATGTACAACACATTTTTCTCTTGAATAATTTCATACTGATCTTTGCTAACATAGGGAGAAAACCACATAACCAAGCACAAAGTTGCTTGAAACGTTAGAGTATAAATGCAGAAGGGATTTAAAACAATTAAAAATGGAGAAACCAAAGGGTGTATTATTTAACATGACAGACACTTGACATTGCATCTTACAGAAATTAAAAGACTATCCTAGCTATTGCTTAACCCAATAACATCCACAGGCCAATTTGTAACACAGCAAAGAAAGAGATTTTTTTTTTAAAAAGACAGAAATTAGTACAAAACAGCTTTTATACTTATATATGTGAGTTTCTACAAAATTCAATGAGGTTGAGAAATTTTTATTTTACCAGCCATGTTTGTATACAATCCAAAGCAAGAATATCCATTTCCTCCTCACTCATTCTTTCTCTTATAGCAAGGTCAGCTGCAGAAGAGCATCTTGCTGCTCACATTCCTGCCAAGTTTTAATTGAAATGTTGTGATAAATTTCACTGCCGGGTCAGATGTTATTTTCTGGTTAAGGAGGGTCAAGTTGGTCTCTTAAAGAACCACTTTTGATTTTTATAGTGTCCAGTGACTCGTTCCTGTAAGCTGATTTACTGCAGTTCTGACCTCTGTCCCCTCGGGTGGCCTTTGCCAGCAGGCAAGTCCCCAGTTTCCCTAGAGCCAAAGCAAGAAAAAAGTATTTTATTAAACTTAGCTTCTTTTTCTACTAGTGTGAAAATAAGCCTTTTCTTAATCGATTGAACAGGAAGCATTCTTTTTATTGCTATAGACTAGAAACTAAAGGTCATTTATTACAAGCAGAATGAAGCATGTAACAGAATCAGCAGTAAATATTTTTGATATGTCAGCATTAATAATAACTTGGTTAGCAGAAAAAAATCTGCCTTCCTGAGTACAAAGTTAGGTAAACAAATGTGACAACTGTTGAAATTTGAAAAGCCATATTTTGGTTGACAGTCCTTAAACAAATGATTCATTTGATATCATGGCTTTAGTTTGGTTGTTTAATAATCTACCCCAACATTCTGAATAAGGACTGGAATATTTTAAGTATTCATATAGAACACGACTTGTATTTCTCAAGTGGACAATGTTATGTTACAGATAGTATGAAATTCTTCATCAAACAGAGAGCTAATTTTGGAGAAGATATAAGAACTGCAAACTACACAAAGGAACCAATCAGAAAACAGCAAAGCTTTTTTTTATTTCTTTGATGAAAACACTGTAGAGGTGACCTTAGAGAACAAGGCTGTGCGCTTACTGACTGTGTCTTGCTGATCATCTCTCAGGTATAGTGTGCCTCTGTCATCACTCAGAATCATACACCTCCATCTGAGGAAATGTTTTACTAAGATTCATAGGCCCCGGTTGTGCCATTTCTAAGGAGCATCTTAAGCATCCTTACATCTCAGTAACATTTTATAATTTTTTATTAAGACTTGAAAATTCACTCATAATGCTTGAATAGTAATTTTATTTTACTATTTATGACAACTTGCATGTTACTTGTATGGCATACAAATATAAAGAAATGGGATGTTTTATTGTGCACTTATAATGTCAAAAGTGTTTGGCATAAATTTTATTTAACTATTGAAAATACATGTACATGGTAACACATTATCAAATCTCTCTATAGTACAGGTTTTATTCAATATCAAAGAATAAATACATTATTAATTCTTCGTGTAAAGGAACATTCTTTGAAGGATGGACAAGAATTAATGAGGAGGAATTTAGATTTACCTGCAATTTATGATGGTGCTTTGGCAAGTCACTGAAATAACTGTAGACTATGTATCATTAAGAATTTTAGATTGTAGAATTCTTACTGCTGAATTTGGACTTGTGTAGGTTACAGCACTCAAAAGGAGAGAGCACTATCAGCATGCTCTTGTTTTTATTATTCCTTTGGTGATTTTACTCTGCATGCTAATTCATTTTGTGCCGTGTGATGCTGCCTTCAATCCTAGCACTGTGGTATGTGCCCTTTAAAGTTCTTCCAATGTACACAAATTATTGATAGTCGTAGAAACCTCAGAAGAGTTTATTTTTCTGAGATACCATAGTGAGCAGAATGCTGCTGTGTCAGGATAATATTCTTATCACAAAATATAAGCAAGAGATATTTGTGTATAACAAGGGAATGATTTTTTTTCAAAAAAAAAAAAAAAAAACTTGAGATCTCCAGTTCTTCAGAAAAAGAAAATCAGGATCTAGGGGCCAAAATGGTCAAATTCAATTTCTTTTTATAAATTGAAATGGATAGATGGAAACAATGTCATTATTATGTAATTTCAAAAATTAAAATATTATCAAAATTATATAAACAGATGATTTTGCTGTATATATGAAGACACATAATTATTTCCAAAGAAGCTTCTATTTTTATCCATTTATTTAAACATTATGCCATCACAGCTCTGGAATAAGTAATGTGAGAAATGACAGAAGTGAAAATGATGTGTTGGGTTGCTTTGAACTCTGTGCTGGTGAAGGCCTGGACAGGTGGGTGTTATGAACTTCATGAGTTTTAATGCCTTGGCATTAGAAGCTTTCTGGACCTGGGTGGAAACATTCTTCATAGGATACAGAACTAGCCCTTCCCTTGGCTTCATGGTTGTTGAGAATAAAGATAAGAACCAAAGTCTTACAACCTTGAATGGCAGACACTTGTTGTGGGGTATTGATAACAGAGCCTTTGTGCACATCTTATCTGACATTCAATGTAAAAGTCAGTCAACTAATGCAGGAGGAAAAACATGTGGAATGAGTCATTAGGCAATTGTTATGGTTACACTGGTGTCTAATTGTCCTGTTCAATGTCCCTCAGGGCACCATGGGGAGGATTACTACAAGTAATATTTCATATCACAAGTGAGTCACATTTCAACTCAAAATGGTCTCAAAGTCTGTAACAAGTAATTGAAAACAAATAAAAAAATTACAGAGGTCAAATTTGTATCAGATGTTGCTGTAAGGATTTTTATATAATGACTTTAGTGTTCACAATAATCTAGTTTTCAAATTAGTTATAGTAATTATCCTTATTTTATAAGTGATGACACATAATATAACAAAAGCTAATAGTGTTGTGATTCAAAGTTAATTCATGCTCTAAAGTGGTTAGGCTGTACACCTCACAATTTACGGGAAGGAAAACAGTTATGAAATTTGTCACTTCTTGAGGAATGAAGAACTAGTCATTTACAAATCTTAAATTTAAATGTGGGTCATTCTGACAGAAAAACAGAACCATGTGATCCAGATGTACGACTCCTGGGTAAGGCATCTCAAATGTAAATCAGTTGAAACCTGAACAGCCATGTTTACTATGGCATCACTCACAATGGTCAAGTTATGGACTTAGCCTAAAGATTCATCAACAGACTGATGAATAAAGAAAATGGGAAATAGATACACAGTAGAGTTTTGTTTACTTGTGAAGAACAAAACATGTTATTTTCAGGTATATGGATAGAACCAGAAGGAATACTGTTAAGAGAAACAAGCCAGAATGAGAAAGGCCATCACATCTCAGCATGCATATGTGGAGTATATGAAATACACACACACACACACACACACACACACACACACACACACACACACACACATATATATATATATATATGAATAAGTGAAGCCTAAATGTATAGAACATATATAACATGGAAATTGAAGAGTGTGAATAAAAAGGAATTGGAAGGATGGGATGGAGGAAGGAAGAAGCAGAGAGGAACAGGTAGTCAAAATAGAAAGGTGTGTGATATACTTGAATAAAAATGTCATGAAACACATCATGTTATACAGTGCACATGCACTTACAATTAAAAAACAGGAAGTCTAGATGTTGTAACCATCTTATTAGCTTCTAACAAATGTGGGGCATGTCTCAGGTAAGAAGATTGTAAACCAGCATCTCTTCAGTACTCAGCGTGTGTCTCTGCAGCTGGAGAATATGACCAAGTCATACTTGATTTGACCAACTCTGTGCTTTTAGTTGTCTTAACTGACAAGTTGCATCAAAGTGAATAATGCCTTGTATGTTTGTATTCAATCATTTGATATATTAGACCTCATGCTCAGGACAGATGTGCACTATATCTGAGAGAAATGTAATATTGATTTTATTTGTGTGTGACTATAATGAGTAGGGGAAATATAAGAATACACAGTTGCAAGGGAGAAAGTCAAGTCTATATGATAAAGTTGTTACACCTATATCACCTTTCTAAAACTTTACAATCCACCCAATCAAATATTCTACAAGCAAGTGAACTTAGAGCTCTATTGGATAGTCTCCTCCAAAGTTACTATGTGTGGCATCCCTTTCAGTTTATTCCTGTTGACTATCAGGCATAGTTAGTAAAAATAAAAATGAAAACAAAGCAATATAACAAATATATTCATGTACATATATTAAATACGCATTGTACCTAACATACGCATGTATAGTTCTACAAACATATAGTATTATCACAGTATTTCCTTTGAGCTGTTTTATTAGTGTCTTACAAAAGCCATTGATAATTGTGCTAAATATAGTTAATTCACTAAATTCATAATTACTTATTAAAGGACATCTAAACTTCAATGGGCCTCAATATTTTCACCTGCTTTTATACACTGTGCCCTTTGGCTTATAAAATAATGAATTTATCTTTGAGATCATGTCCCTTTTGTCCTATGCGATGCTTAGCAGATGCCACCTGTTTCCAGCGGACAGGTTGTTTGTTGTTATTAGGGTACAATACAAGGGACAGAGCTTATAAACACAGTTGTTGGAGTATAATTACTTAAGCTCCTTACGGAGGTGGATCATCTCACAGCACAATGCTCCCCCGGACAAAGTAAGGCCAACTGTCTTTTACAGCATCAGCTGCTGCACCAAGTTTGGTCCTTTGCCACAGACACCAAGTCTCTTTTGTTTACCAGGTAATTAACAGTAATGATGTCTTGCTGCTTGCCTTTGTTTCACTAGCAAGCCTCCTTCTTTGCAGATTTGGATGGACTCAGAGGCTCAAGCCCATGGCCTGCCTGTCATTAAGTACCAGCAGGCAATTCTAGGCTTAATTACCTCCCTGTTTTGTTCTGTACATTGGGCAATAAACATCCAGTCTAAAGGCAATTTGTAGGCAAGAGGGAAGAGGAAAAAGGAGGGGGGACGCCTCCTTTCCCAACAATACATTCATCAAATAAACTAACTTAAAAATGTTTTGACCTTGAGTTCTTAAACATTGTTGT